TGTCTTGAAAACTTGTATGCTTAAGCGATTTATACTTCTGACCATATACGAAGAAATCTTAACAAGTAACTAAAACAATTGAAAATGAGGTACATTTTAAAGCCAAATCAAGATTTGCCTGAGTCCTTTTGCTTAAAATAGCATCAATCTATATAGCATTATATGATAAATTGAATTAAAGGTAAAATTATATGGTTTATTTAATTGTATTTATCATTTAATGACACTTAATATCACCTGAACTGGTGTTGTAACACCAGTTTTGTTAAAGTGGAAATTACAGCGTACCAGAATTTTAAACTTCCAATTTCAAAATTCAAATTCACAAGTTTTTATTTCAAAAATCAGATGATAATTAAAATTTTAATAATATAAAATTAAAACAAATAAAACCTCGATTCCAACTCCCACCAAACTCTAAATCTCTACACCTTCTACCTTTCTCTCTCTATCTCGCTCTCTTTATCTCTCACACAACCATCGGAAAGGGCACAACTGCGACGATGACGCTGATGCGGTGGATTGAGCGACGCTGCTACGACGGTGCTCACGCCACTGCACATAGCGGCCGTTGCACATTACCGCTACACAAGCTTGCACATTACTGCCACGCTGCTACAAAGATTGCCGAACATGTTCCTCATTGTGCAGCGGCGCTTGCTGAGCAAGCTTCCCGCTGAGCACAACGAGGAGGATCTTTAAGATGTAGAAGATTAGATCATTGGAGTCGGATGTTGGGGTGAATTTAGTGGCGCCATCGATGTTGGCGAAGGCAGTATGGATCTCCGATTTGGGTGACATTTTTGGAGGTTCAGGGGTGGACGATTTGGTGTGGGAAGAAGGTTTTGGGAGGTTTTTAGTAGTTAGGTAAAACACTCAATTAGTTGATCTGGGAGAATTTGAGTTTATTTCTAATCTACCTCTGTTTTCTCTTCATTTGGTTTGTTGTGGTGTTGAATGTAATGGGTACGATGTGGTGGTGGTGTGGCTGCGATTATGGTGGTGGCAATTGCAGTGAGTTGTTGGTGTAGGTGGTGGGCGATTCGTGCTGAGCAGTGATTAGATGATCTATGGTGTATGAGTGTTGTTTTGTGTGTATGGAAACGATTGTGTGGTGGTACGATTAAAGTGGTGGCGACGGCGATGGTGAAGTAGTGGTAGTATTTGGTGGTGGTGTTGGATTGTTTGAGATGGTGGCGGTGCTGACAATTGTTGTGAGGTGGTGGTTCTAGCGACGAAGTGTTGTGGCTACTAGTAGTTGTTGGTGACAATGGGTCTCTCGAGGTGGCGGTGGATTTGGTGCTACGATGTGGTGGTGTTTTTATGGTTGTGTTGATTTGTTTGAGATGATGTTATTGTCGAGAGGGGGTGGTGGTGATGGTTCTGACGGCGACGGTGGTGCTGATGGGAGTGGTGAGGTGGTGGTTTCAAGTGTTGGTTGTGGTCATAGATTATTTGGTTATTTGTGATCATTAAATTGATTAATATGTGACTGATAAACAATATTCGACCAATGATTTTAATTTTTACAAACTAGTGCATTGCATTATTATATAAAATAAATTCTACCTCTGATTTGGTAAATAGTAGCTTTATGCCAAATTGAACAAAAATGGCATCATCAATTTGAAGAAGCAATGTATACTATACTTTTGCTACTTCTTCCCTTTTTTGATGATATATTTTTATTTAAACAATCTGGCCATGAAATTAAGGTTGAGGTCCAACTACACCTCACAGATGTGAAAAAAGTTTAGGAGGGAGCAAATTAGGGTCAGAAAAATAATTCTTTGCCATGTACAATAACTAGAAATGATCCTGGAATCATCTTATCTTATTTAACAAGAACATTTATGAAAATTGTGCACTCTTTTTTGAATAATGCTACTTGCAGCCGCTCACTGCAGCAGTCGTCCTATG